TGATAAGGCTCCCATTGATTACTAACAACCAATGCAATATAGCAATATCTTTTTTACTCTTTGTTATAATATGTTAGATTGAAAAAAAAGTAACTGAAATTTGTTTAAAACTACATTTATATGGGTGATTCTCTGTAAGGATGTTTTTTGCTGTCCCAGGCATTTTTTAATTAGAAAAATTGTTATTTTTTTACTAAAAAAAATTTATTACGAAAGTAAAAAAACATTTCTATTTGGAGCATTGAAAACTAAAATGGAATAAATTTTAGTTTTTTTGCTATAAATTCGTAAACCACCGAAATGTCAGTCCCCTGGGCTGTCCCAGTACCAAAATTAATACTTTAAGATTAAATTTTAAGTTATTCGTCAATAATAAATAATTTGGTCCATAATGTTTATAAACTTAATTAGTTAACTAACAATCTTCTTCAATAAAAAGTACCGAAAGTTAATTTGTTTCATTAAATTCATTAAATCAAAGCTTGTCCCAGGCATTTGAGATCAGTCCCCTGTCAGAAGTTCAAAGCCAAAAAAAAAAATCTAGCGTGTTATTTTATCTTTTGTAAAATTTATAAGGATCTAACTAGCCTTAAGTTAATAACCATAGGGCTGTTAGCGCTTTATCGCCATTTTATTTAGTGTCAAAACACCGTTTGTGCTATAGAAATATGTGTCTGGGCCACTTCAAAACTCAGTCCCCTGGTAACTATTTTTATTTATAATTTATTTATAAAATAGGATCCATAAGTCTTAATATTATTCTAATTAATGTAAACATTCATTGAGAATTTAAAAAGTTGAATGCATTGAAATAATTTGCTTGATTTTTCTCAATTTGATAAAAAAAATCAGTCCCCTGTCATGTTATATGGCAAAAGATACACAAATATCGAAAAATAAAAAATTAATTCGGCTGTTTATTTATTATAATTAAATTAAGCTGATAGTTTTGTAGCCCTTGTTAATTTTTTTTCTAATAAAATCAAAAATAATTTGGTCGGACAATTTTGTACAGATTTAAGACGTCCTTACAGAGAATCATCCATATTATTAATTAAAATTTTATCAAAGAGTTTTACAGTGAGCACTAGAATATCAACGGTTGCTTCTGTTGCTGCCGCTTTCATAATATTCATTAAATAAGTAAACTTTTTAGAGTACTATAAACAAAGTTGAATTTTGATATTATCTTTAAGGAAAATGAGATTAAAATCTCCGGGGTGTATTGCTCTGAATGTTATCAAGTTATCATAAAGCTACAATTAATGTCCTCTTTAAATGTTAATATTGGAGCTGAGAAATATTTAGTACCCAGCAGGTTCATGATGAATCGTCTGCAATGAGTACTTGGCTTTTCTTTCTACCCTTGAAGCTAAAATACGTAAAATATATTGGGTAGTAAGTTAAAGATCTGCTTTCTCCGTTTGAATCGTAATAATTTAGTTTTTTTTATTATTTTCGTCCATGTCAAACGTTACTGTAACGTTTCACCACTATTATTGTTATTATTTTTATTATTATTATTATATGAGAAAATATAAGAATAAGAGGAATGGTACGCGCGCGTGATTGCTTACAGCGACGCGTGATGTCGAGAGCTGAGAAAAGGAAAAGAGAAGAAAGGTTAAAAAATAAAATAAAATAGAATCGACTATTGTATAGCAGCCAAACGCGATAAAACCAGTTTCGTTTCAGGAAGTCTCTTCTCTAGATTTCGATATCGTCCCACCAGCATTTATTTTATTTTTTTACTCTCGTTATTTTCCCAGCATCCACCACACGTATCGTGTCTTCTTAATCCCTTTTTTTATTTCCTTCCTTACTCGATCCTTTAACCTTCGTTTGGACATTACAATAATATTTTTCAATTGTAGAACAATAAATAGCTCGACTATTTAGATACTGTTCGCTACTCGGCTACTCGGCAAACCTTGAACCCTATACCAACAAAATATTCAACATCCCGTTCGTTTATAACACTTGACTGTTAATTTTTACGAGTAGAGGCGCCGTTGACCTTATTAAGAAATATATTCAAATTTGCTGACTATTATGTACTTAAATTCTAGCTAAATAAAAATAATATTATTCATTTGCATATTATTACATAAAATACCAGATTTGACTAAATTCTTTGTAAAAATTTTTACGCAGATAATTAAAAAACAAATTACACTTAAACTATCATGTTAATTAAGAGAAACTCGATAGATTAATAATAATAATAATAATAATAATATAATAATCGAGTTAAATTTAAACATAAAGAATAATTTAAGTTGTTTTTTTTTTAATTCTACTGTTGACAAATAATTTTATACAATTCCGGGCCCGGGCGCTTACTGGAATTAACAAGCATTAAGTGTTATTAAAGCAGTTTCATAACAAGTATAATTATAATAAAACTGCTAAAAAAGTAATAACGAAAATTAGTTAACGGTTATGTATATATTATACATTATACAAATATTAATTAATACTATTAGCAAGACGATGATAATAATTCAACGAGGGAGGTATATTGTATGATAAAATACAACGGACAATCGCTCCAAACTAGCTAAGATAAAATCGTTAGGTTGTAACTGGAAACTTAAACTACCCACGAGCACAAGCGCGAGCAGCAAGACCAAATTATTTGAATCCACAACGCGATAAACATGCAAATCCTCGAATTCCCTAAAATATACCCGACTCTACCCGGATGTACAATATTTCTCGGTTCACTAAAATCAATCCATCTTTTTGGGTTTTTAAATTTTACCACAAAAAATGTTGCGCCGATATCAATAACATCCTACTGATTTATCACTTCTACTATCATTTTTTTTATTGAATTAATTATTTAACATGAATTTTTCATTTAATAAATAGCAAAAATAGAATTTAAAATTTTTATTTTTTATCTAATATTGCTGAAGATTTAAAAAAAAATGAAAAAGTACAATATCTCGTCTCACATATGTTTATCGCGATGACAAAGAAAATAAATAAAAATTCATCTCTATACTCGGTGAGCATGGGACAATTTAGTATGCGTTTATCAAGTTGTTGAGCTCGTAAGTCATGGTGTGCCCGCCGCGTACTGAATAAGCGAACAGAGAATTAAACTCGAGGAGGAAAACGCTTAGACTGCATCCAGTACAGTAACAAAGTAGTTTCCAAGGAATAAAACGACAGACAAAGACAACTGAATATAAGTGAACTGTTCCAGAAGCCCCGAGTTAACAAAACTCTTTTTCTTAATCTTCTCTCGGGTATTCTCATGTCATGTTGGGCAATAAATAAGCCTTGACGTACGAGTATACATACGCCCTCACTATAAAAGTAACTTTAAACAAAAAAAAAAAAAAAAAAAAATTAGCCCTCAGCACCCTCTTGATTAAACTCTCATGCGCACCGACATTTCAGCTCAACTCTTTCTTTTCCTTGTTAGTTTCCAAGAGTCTTGTAAGTCATTTCAAATTTATCATGGGATGTCCTTCGACGAGAAGAGGAAAAATTTAATGAACCAACGTGAGCACAAACCGCGAATTGTGAATCACGAACGTGCCAGTACTGAGATATGCAATATATATGAATGTATGTAAGCAAGCATTTGGCATGCGTCTCGCCTCGATTTTCCATCCGGCATCACTGCATTCATTTCTTATCATTCACAATATCCAGCTTTAAATTTACATTGGAGAAAATTTATAATAAAATTCAATACAAAAAAGATATTTCAATATCGGAACTTTCAACAAAAGTGGTGTAAATGTTAGAACGTGGGTGATCTTACTTGTTGTGATATATAGCCCGAATAATTTAGGTTTATTATTAAAAATTTAAAAATTTTTTTGAATACTCAATAATGTTTTTATATCTTTTTAAAGTAAAAGTTTAGCTTGTTACTGTTGTTGAGTTCTTGAGTACGTACATTCCTTCGATGTAAATTAATTTTTTTGGGGGGTAAGAAAAAGCAGTAGAAAATATCGTTACCGCGGTTAAAACAAGAAAATTTATCCCAGTAAATAACTCACCAAGTCTTGTAATAATTTCTCATTCACCTTACAGTGTTATTCCTGTTATCTCGGTGAAGCCTGTATAAAACCAAGAATTCATTCTAAATGTTATATAGTACCCGTCAAAAAGAAAAATTGGATTTGGATTACACTTTTTTTATTTGAATCAAATTGATCTCAACACTCTAAGGTCGACGGAATTCATGTATGTCCATCGGTACTTTTACTCGGTAAGAATATAACCAAGTATATATTTTTTAATTTAGTTTTACGTCCAACTTTTTATTTTTTTTCCTCGAGATAAAATATTACCGAGATTTTAAGTATTAATTTATGGATCATTTATAACGTAATCGTATAATAAATGAAATCACCGGCAAATTTTATTCAATGCCGTACTTGCGTGGGTGTTTTTGAGATATTTATTTGAGGATCGGTAGCATAATTATTCACCTTTATACTTCGTGGAATTGTTGTTATTTTTTTAAATAATATCTTCAACTCGATCTAATATCATATTACCAATTCATTTCATTTCATAAATAAAAAATAAAGTTACGGAATTTTATTTATGAAAAGATTTTTAATTCACTCCAACCATATATACATATAGATATATTTATATTTATATTTTTTTTAACCATTAAATTAATTAACTATTACGTCAAAAACATAATCTCAACTCAAACTGTACTATCGATAATACTTGAATTAAAGTTTTGAGACGAGAAATAATTCATCGAACAAAACCACCGAATAAACTTTTAAACATTTGACAATTAAATGCTTATCGACTGAATCAACCAAACTTTGGATACGTCGAATACTTGTTTATGAGAATAAACTTCTGAAAATTCTCACAAAGTTTTAACAGATTTTCAAAGTCCTCCAAGGACATTAAATTTATTAAATATTCAAATCCGAGCTGAAGTGACACAAATTCACCGTTCTTAAATCTTAATTCACAATAGTTTTTCTTTTCGTCTTTATTAATTTATAAATAAATAATTAAATCATTGTCGACCGTCAAAAGTTTAAATTTTATAAAATTAAAACTTTTATGGCCACTTTTAGTTCTGCAAACTCATTTTAATTTATTGTTTCAGAAACTAAACTTTATTTCTTGAATATTTTGAAGAACCATCCATTTGATACATTATTTAAATCGAATGGAGTGCTCCGTTTAATCACTTAATTAAATGAATGATTGATGAAAGAAAAAGCGTTTTTTTTTTTTGCGTAGTTTTTAATAAAAAATCTGATAAATCAGTGAAAATTTCTAACAAATTAACCCTGGACAATTAATAACATTTGATATTTGATAAATGACCAGGTCAGAAAAGTAAAATTTTTAATATTTCCATCGCCCAGAAATGCATACGACCATCCAAGAAATGATGATTCTTCAGTAAAACCGGTTCGTTTTCAGAGCCTATTTGTAAGTGGAAAAAATTATCTGAATAAGGTTTCCACATACTTTTATCTCCATTAAAATTTGTCCTTGGCTCTCTAAAAATAAATGTAATAAATCTTAGTCTCAAAATGACTCAATTATAAATTTATAAATCCAATATATAATAATAATAATAATATACCCATAAATTGCAAAGCTTGTCCACAAATCGACAAGAATGTCAATCATTTTTTCGTCTTCTTGACTCATCTCGAGATCCGGTAGCCGAAAATACTCAGGAGTGAAAGGGAACAAATAAATAAGCTCATCAGCATGAATGACCCCTATGTTGTCATTATTTTCCAACAACAGTGAAGTTTTACTAAAAGTTCCTCGATACTCAAAGGTGTAAAAATACGAGGGCTGCTTCATTCGGTTGCTCACAAGTTGAAGTTGCAGCATTTCCGGAAACAGAAATGAAATATCACCAATTAAATCTGTCAGCTTTTGAAGAACCTAAAAATAAATTCGTTTTCACACACTGGTGACTTTAATTACAAATGATAAATAAATTATAATGATTACCTGATTTTTATCATCGAGATCAATACCATCAAAATAAAAATTAAACAAATTATTAGCTAGTTTATCTGCATCGCCACCAGTGACGTAAGAGCTAGTCACAAAGTGTAATAATTCGTTTACGTCGCCGACTTTTTCATGGTACAACGTTTCATTAGCGTATAAAACTAAAATAATGATAATATTATCAAAAAGTGTCTAGCAAAAAAGTAAATGAATTAAAGACCCTTTTTACGATAACATGCACCGTATAATTACAACCCATTTTAACAGAGAATGATGTATGTGTATTAAATTATATTATACATGCATGTATATAGATGTGATACTACGTATGCCCATTAACATCTTAATAAATATCTATTACTGAAGAGACATCATAACAAATGACAAAGCAGAGTATACCTGTGGTAAGAACTAATCCTTCATTTTTAACAGCCCCGCTGATGTTGGGAAGGTCTTGAATTTTGTCACTGAGAATTATTTGAAGAGGATGTTCGGTTATAAATGCACCTTCGATGTCTGGCTCAACTGTGGGTACCCAAGTAACCAACGCAAGTTGTTGTATACCTCCAAATATATCATCAGTAAATAAACTATAGTAAGGAACCTGCCTTAAACATTCTATTAGTTCTTGGGAAGTTGTATTTGGGCACTCAAATATCGCTCCAAGTTTGTAAGCGTAACTCTTGTAACTAGTTGAGTTTGCGAAAGACCATGGACAAAGTGAACTACCACTTTGGGTGATATATCGATGGAATAATCCTGGAAAGATACACTCAAGTTAATTTAAAAACTTTTAAATAATAAATAAATATAAATATACGTACCTTTAGTAGTTTTTGAAAGAGCTTGATAATTGACACTGACACTACCTGCGCTCTGTCCAAATAGTGTAACATTATCTGAGCTCCCGCCAAAATATTTAATGTTTTTTTGTACCCACTTTAATGCAAGAGCTTGATCCTTTAATCCAAAGTTGCCTGGTGCACTTGCGTCACCCGTACTCAGAAATCCGGTAACACCCAGTCGGTACTGAACTGTTATTAATACTATATCTTTATCCAGTAAATAATTTGGCCCGAGAGATTCCGGCTTAGCGTCTCCTCTTTGAAAAGCACCTCCGTGTATATAAACCATCGTTGGCAGTAAATTTTCCTCCTGATTTATCTAATTTATTTAATAATATAGTCATTTATACTTATAAATATCCTCCTATATTTAACTTAATAATAATTACATTTGGTGAATAAACATTTAAATATAGACAGTCCTCCTGACCCATGAGGAAATTTTCATACTCATCTCGCTGACCACAAACCGGGACTTCATTAATTGCCATTAAGTTTCCAATCCACGGCTTAACTGGTTCTGGATTTTTGAATCTGTTTAATGGTAAAAAAATAACAGTTTTATTATTTAAATTTTTTAAGATGAAATAAAATAAAATAAAATACCGAAGAGGCCCGATGGGCGGTTGAGCAAATGGAATTCCCAAAAATGCATTGATATTCCTGCCGCGACGTGAGACCATTTGCATTCCTGTTATTTTTCCAAGCGGTGTTATGACTTGTGGACTTGCCGGAAGACCAAAACTCCCATTATCACACCAATTAATTAAATAAATAAGTATTATTGAAGAATTTATCCAAGCTTTCGCCATTACCGTTACTTGTTTGTTACTAATTTCTTTGTTGTTTCCCATTTACGTCAGGTTATATCTCATAAAACTAATTGCCCGCGATAGCGTTCGCGGATAATTGTTCACGATATGGCTGTCTGATTATTTTTATTTATTACACTTAAACTTGAAGTTGTTTAGCAATGTTAAAAAAATATATATATATTCTTATCTAAAAATTACCTTTTATTTGGAAAATCGGGAAAAAAGAGAGTAAAATTAAAACGCGATTGAGCAATTACAATTATCATTGTTGAATGGGTACCATCGGTTGTAAATTACTAAAACATTTGAGCTTTAGTCGACGTTTGTTACTCACCGTGAAAGGGGTGCTTGTTTTAACGATTTTTTCGTCCCATTAATTTTAGATTCTAACTTGTACACCCCTACTGCGTACATATAGACATACAACCCGTGTTTTTAGTTTCTCTTTTGGCTTCCAGGAATGAAATAAAACCGGGTAAACTTTCCAAGACTAATGCTACTGACAACCAATAAACTAGGTCGAACTTAATAAATTTTTTTATTTATTGAAAATAAATAACAACATTACTCAAGATCCTAAATTTAATTTCTAATATTTATATGAAAAGTTTTATTCTACGACGCAAATGAAAAAAATTAAAAAAGATTTTTAAATTTTGAACTAAAGAGAAGAGAAATAAAGAGTAACCCGGTGTCAGTGGCTTTAAAACTTTAAAACTTTATTATTATCTTATCTCTTTCAGGTTGATCTCCTTTTTTTAATTTTATTCTATTTCGACGGCTGATCCTTGATCCTTGAAATAAGATGATACGCGAACGAGATTATGCAGCTGATACTCACCTCCTCTTCCAGGAACAATATTTTACACTCTTGTTAACGAACTGTCTTTTCTTTTTATTTTTATTTAATATATATAATTTTTTTTTTTTTTTTTTTCCAATGAATTACATTCGACTAAGTTATTGTTAATTGATTAACCGACTAAATGGAGCAAACTCAAGAGGTAAATAACAGCTACTCAAACAATAAATCTTGTAGAACAGATTGTTAAAAAAAGATATCAAATTACACATTGAGAAAAAAAAATAGAAGAAATTTATTTAATTAATAAGAGTCACTTGACACCATTTAAATATAAATTTAATAATTATAAAAGATAAAATATTTATTGTTATAGTTTTAAATATATCTACAAATGATAGTACCGTTTGAAGTGATAATCATTTCACCGCCAATTTCGTTTTCTTCAGTGTCAATATAATTATCATCATTATAACCTGGTTTGTGCTCGTATCTGTAAATATAAAATAATATATTATCATATCATTAATTAAACATCACACTGAAATACTTAAACTTGGTTCAACAAAATGAATTTATAAACAACGAAGAATGTCGAATGATTAATTAGCATTTAATAATTACTTTTGATAATTTAATACATTATTATAATAATCCAATTAATAATAACCCCATTATTCATTATTATTTATTATTATACATACTTGAAATATTTATATAGGTCGTTGTTATTTTGTTTATAATTTTTATGGTTCACTGGTAAAGCCATCACCGCAACACCCACTACCAGTATTATGTAAATAATTATCTGAATAATTTTAATTTTTCATTGATTAATAATTATAATTATTTTTACATAATTACTATTAAAAATAATTAAAAATAACTCACCGATTTCATAATTAATACACACAGTAGAATATAATTACGATTAATAATAGTTTAATTGAATAAAAAAGAGAAAATAACGATAATTGAAGGCAGTTATCAGTTAAACTTATTAATAGAGCATATATCAGTTGATCATACATGCGTATAAGTCACTAGTCTGGTGTCTTTTATACTGAAAAGTTGAATTACATCTATTGATTTACGATATCTATCGATGACGTTAATTTAATCGTAAATTAAGTATAAAAATACGATTAAATAAGCATAACATAAATTACCGAGAAATACTTTTAAAAGACAGATATATATCGGTATTTTAAATTTTAATTCAAAATAAATCGAATTAAATTTTACCGTTAGACAATAATCGAAAATTCGCTCAAGGTATTTAAATATATATATATATATATATATAATAAAAAAATAAAACTGAGTTGAATTATCGTGTAACGGTACGTAGCAACGAGTAGCTCTGGGTATGTGCTGAAATTCACCTAAAATTCTGCAGTATCTTCCTCAAAGGATAAAGACCCCTTTTTATCCGGTGTTACAACTGTATAACCATCAACAACAAGGGGTGGCATTGATCCCCTATTAGGAGGCATGCGCAATATATTTATGTCCTTGGAAAAATTAATACCCAAGAGGGAAGTATTCCAATCAAAACAAACCAGTCGTGTAAAAGATGCAGTAGTAACACTATTTTAATTATAAATATATATATATATATATATATATATATCATTTTTTATTTTTTAAACAAAGTTATAATTAGTTTACTTATAGAGATATAAATAATAGTAATAATAATAAGTTAATTAGGTTAAATAATCCGACGATGACTCCTGGTTTGGGTCATGATCCTTTATCCAGTTACAATATAACGGCTCTCGGTGAGTAAGCATTTAAATGTCCTGCAAAAATAAATATATTATTCGACTCTTGCCAGATAATCTTTAAATTGCACCGGTACATATATATGTTGTTAAATTGTTATTCAAGGTAATACACCTTTATGTCTTTGGCAACAACCACAACACATCCTCTTTCAATTGGCTAATTTTTGCTTTGTGTTATCCTACTCGGCACCGTCCTCCAAAAAGGGAATACTTTTTATGCATTCTGTTCTTATTATCGGTAAGTATCACAATACAATACAATACATATTGTTATTATTGTTTAAATAATGATGATGATGATGATAATGATGATTAGGTTTTATCCTGTTATCTGGATGGGCATGGCACGTAATCTGTGCGCCAGATATATTTTCCTGGAATTTCGCCTTTTTGGTATTAAATATCGGACAGTTGGTTTACATTGTTTATCAAATGAGACCAGTACACTTTGATCCAGAGCTCGAGGAAGTTTATCACACGCTTTTTTATCCATTTAAGGTTAAACTTTTTCTCTATTATATTTTTTGCCATTATCATATTTAACAATACTATTATAAAAAAATATTTTTATCTCTATCAGGTCTCTCGAATGCAATTCAAAAGACTAGTTTCCCCAGAATTTGCAACAATAATGTCACTTCACGCAGGTGAAGCTTACGCAATGCAAAATTTAACGAGAACAGACAGACTAGCGCTGTTGTTGAGTGGGAAAGTTAATGTCTTAAGTGACTCAAATTATTTGCATCCGATTCTTCCGTGTGAATTTTTAGATTCACCAGAGTTTGAAAGCTCCCGTGCCTCTGTTGACGATAAATTTAAGGTAATAATAAAAATAAGATAAATAAAATAAATAATTATGTTTAGTTATTAATAAATGGTGATTTTATCTTGAAACAGGTTTCTATTGTTGCTGCGAGCTCGTGCAGATATTTGTACTGGCAAAGATCAGCTTTAGAATATTTATTAGTAAAAGAAGCATATTTAGCGACCGTTTTAACTACCTTGGTAGCGAGGGATATTGCTACTAAGCTCTACGCTATGAATAATAAGGTATAATATATTATTAGTGGATATTAAATCATTAAAATTAACGATAAAAATAAAAATTAAAATTAAAAACTTGTGTGTTTATTTAATAATATGGTAGATAGTTACAGATAAAGGCTCCCATTTAGATATAAGACTGCCGACGATAAGTGCCGGGTTAAATATGTCAGGAGAATACCGGAGTCCACGTGCATCTCGGCAAGCTCTTATACGTCGTAAGGAAGGCAAAGCGACTGCCAATAATGGTAATTTAAAAAGAAAAAAAAAAAAAAAAAAAAAAAAAACCAAACAGAATAAGATAAAAAATGGACTGTGTTTAAAATTAGCGAAACATATAGTTGAAAAATAATTAAAAAGAATAAAAGGAAATGCATGTTAATCGAATATCGAACGGTTTTTATCTTTTAAGGTAATTAATTATTTTATTCACAGTGGGTGGTGCTAAGCCAAAAGAAAGGCCGGCTAATAACCTGACGAAACTTGGCGCGCCTAACATGGAACCGCTACCAGAGATGCCGTCTTGCGATGATTTAGCTTCCAGCGGGGTTGAGAGCTGGCTCGAATCCTCCAGCAAGTATCACAGCTGCGAGATTGTCGATGAAGAGTAGCTTCTTACAATTATAATTATTGTTGTTAATTTTATATATATCGTTTAACATAATCGTTCAATTATTTTATTATTTATTTATTCACTCATTTATTCCGAGACATCATTCATCCAGAAAGTATTCAGAGAGTAATCACCACTATTAACGGTCTCAATCATTTACTTTTTTAACTTTTTTTAAACTTTTTATACTTTAGTCTTTATTTATTATTATCAATTATCAATTATTTTTTCTATTGTATAAATTTGTAATATATTATTTTAAATATAATATAACTATTTGTAAAAAAAAATATATATATATAAAAAGTTTATTAAATTGTTGTAAAATATAAAATAGTGATTAAATATTCATATGAAATTTTATTGCCTAATACCGCTTTATATTTATTTTTCTATTCCTCAGTCACTTACAGAAAGATAATAAATAATTAATATTAGCAATTGATTTTACTTGAAATAGGTCACTCTGACTCTGACAACTGGGGGGATTTATAATTTCAAGATATCATTATTAAATTAATTATTATTAAGATCGCGTGTCTGATTATGTTAAATAAAACTTAACCTTCTGATTACTGTTATTATTGTTATTAGATGTACATTAACCCTTGACAGTAATTTTATTGATAATATTTTTAAAAGACAAAAAAATTAAATATATTTATTTATTTATTTATTAATGATAAATGTAATTAATTGATATTACACAGTGGCTTAAAAAATGACGTGGATTATTGACATAATAGAGTCTGTTTGAATAATCAGTAAATGATACTATACGAATAATCAGTAACCGGTTTAGCCAGCAATCGGCTTAAACATTTTACGTATGTATTGGATGTATAATGTACAGCAATTATGGCGATCGTCCAAGTTACTTAGACAAAATTTCCTCGGAATCTACTTTTTACAAAATTGTTTTTATTATTACAATCGAGAGTACTTTTAACATAAAAATAAATCTAAAAAAATGTAAATGTTTAGTTATTGAAACCGCATGACCATTGAATAAGTTACAAATGTGTTTCCACAAATAAAATAAAATGTTTTTTGGCTTATCTCTGTCGGTATTTTTCACAAAGATTTATTAAACTCATGACCAAAAGAAAAATGATGATAGTCTGAATGCTTGGTGATTATATTCATTTGGCAGTATACATTAAACCCATTTATCCCGAATTTTTTAGATTAAAAAACCTCGAAAAAAGTGGACAATACCGACCACGTAAACACGGACATGAACGATTTGTGATAACTAGTAATGGATGGAATCACCCGGCAGCTCACTGGCTGACGACCAAACCGTTTTATAGACCCACTAAAAAATTATTGCCCTAAAACTAAAATTACTTAAAAATAATTGAGGATTCCTTTTTATCTAACCTCATACTATTTTTCACAAATACCATGTATTTAAAACTATTCCAACACTTTAATAATTATAGTTTGAATTTTTATTTTAATTTATTCTTCACAGAGTATGAAAAAATTAAAATAATTACAGTCTCGCTTGAATAAAAAAAAAATTAACAATATACTTTCAAAATTAAGGCCTCAGTAGTGTACTCTGCAATTACCTCAATGATTATTGTTATTAACAATAAATAAATAATTAAAAAAAAAAAATCAATAGTATCAATTGTTTGGTTTACTTACATGCCAAAGGAACACAAACAAGCGTCACGTAAAAGCATAAAAAGAAAATAAAGTTGACAAGTAACGTGTCGGGTAACGAGGGTAACAATAAGTCCTTGGCGTTTTTAAAAGTTGCTCCATCACTCCATCATAATTTTTTTTTTTTTTTTTTTAATCTAGATATTATCAATGTAAATCTTGCTTAATCTTAAAATATATCAATAATATAATAATAGCACATTATTTGCCTGATGATTTTAATCTTAATCAACAGACTTCCGTTAATACACTTTAGATATTAAATAATTACTCAACTTTTGATGAATAAATTTGACTATCTTACCCCTATTGTTTTATTTAACTCCAATAATAAAATAAAAAACTAAATAGTTATTGTAATTAAATTAAAAATAAGTTGAATATTATCTGAATCAGTAAATTCGATCGATGTTTAAAATAGTTTAAGATAATATGTAAAGTGAGACCTCGTTGAATACGCGTGAATAAATTCCATTAAAGTATACGTGTGTATGTTATGTCGGTACACACTCGGTATTACGCTTTACGCTTAACGCTATTCTACCTCATGGATTGTTTTTTATTTTAATGATCCTCGCAGTTTAGTAAAATGGGTAGAGAATACACAGATAGATCGACAGATAGATACTTTAGCGCATGAAATAGCAAAGATTGATCAAAATAGTGGATATTCAAAGGTCAAAACCAGATGATCTGCAAGTGTAATCAGTAATCAGTAATCAGATATGCTGAGAGCTGATTTTGACCTCAACTATCTACTATCATTCTCTGTAATTCTCTGTTATTTTAGGGCTCCTGGATAAATTAATCTAACGTTTAAATCTTAACCATCATTTGAATTAAACGTCTTTCACTTTAATTTACATCAAACTCTGATAAAAATTTACATTTTCCTCTTTATTTTATTGTCACACATTTTTTTTTTTTTAAATTAAAACAAACTTTAATAAATTTCCAATAAAAACAAAAAAGTTTTATTTTAGCAGTGGTCCTAATTAAGCTATCGATTGTAAAACCTAATGAAGGTTGTAAAAAATTCCAATAATAGAATGGAAATAGTCAATCGTTGGAAATAAACTTTTTAAACTTTAGTAAAATGTAAAATAAAAGAAGTTTATATGTATATAAGAAATGAGAGTACAGACAATAATTTGTATAGTCCGTCTATTTTAGTGAGTGACATTAAATTGTAGCGAGATAAGGGCAGCAACAGGGTCAACGTCTGAGTAAGTAGAAAAAATCAAGTTACTCAGACGGGGTCTATGTACTTGAGATCTATTTTATATCTCAGGCAACACTTACCAGACAACACGCGGTCATTGATTTATAAATCAATTACTTAAGATTTTATACTATCGTGACATTTTAACAAAACTATTTATTGAATTATTTAAAATAAATAACATCACTTTCATTTAAGGGGGTATTCTGGTCTAGAAGCATGAAATTTCAGGTAATTTTTAAAGTGCCGTAAAAAAAAGGCAATCAATATTTTTACTATAAATTTTTTTATAAGTTATTTATTAACATTATAAGAATACAGAAAAAAATAAAAAAAATGGAAAAAGTTGGAAGTTCAAAAAATTAACAGCTGATGAAATGGGGGTGTCTGAAAAAATTGGCATGTGACGATACCCACGATTCCAACCCTCCTAGCAATCGGAAATAAAAAAATAAAGAAGATTATTAATCTAAAGTAATGTCGCTATGGTCAGAACTACGGAAAAGTTTAAAAAAATTTTTTTCACAAAATGGCGACTGCCTGAAAAAAAAAATTTTTTTTCTACCACTTTTTGACTTTTTCGAATTTTTTAATTTTTTTCACAAAATGGCGACTGCCTGAAAAAAAAAATTTTTTTTCTACCACTTTTTTTGACTTTTTCGAATTTTTTAAAAATAGTAAATATTGAAATTTGGGGATGACCGTAGTTCCGGCCATAGCGACATTACTCTAGATTAATAATCTTTTTTATTTTTTTGTTTCTGATTGCTAGGAGGGTTGGAATCGTAGGTATCGTCACGTGCCAATTTTTTGAGACACCCTCACTTCATCAGCTGTTAATTTTTTGAATTTTCAACTTTTTTCATTTTTTTCTGTATTCTTATAATTTTAATAAATAATTTATAGAAAAATGGATAATAAAAATATTGATTGGCTTTTTTTTACGGCACTTTAAAAATTACCTGAAATTTCATGCTTCTAGACCAGAATACCCCCTTAATTTAATCCTTTAAGCGTCTTATTGGGCTTTTATAATGCATATGTAGATTTTTAGATGGATTTAATTTGTAAAATGACTCTAATTCAAAGTAAATTTGGCCCTTAAAGAGAGTCTTTCACCTAGTTGTAGCAACTCAATCGTAATAAACTGAGTAAAATGGTCCGACTGAGTAAAATAAAAATAGGAAAAAGCCAAAAAAAAAATAAAAATAAAAAAAAGCTGATGGTGCGCGTGAGTTGATGGAATATATCTGTATATATAGATAAAAGAATCCAAACGAGGTTGAACGGGTTTAGTGTGTTCTGTTCACCCCCATTGCCCTTTCTTTAATTTTCTTACTCGTATCTACTGTCGTCCTGTCGTCGTAATATCTCTCTCGAGTCCCAAGACCCGAGTTTCTGCCCGTCTAGCAGCCCAGCAGTGGGTAATTCTCCATCTGGTATCTCCTCGATGGGAGTCTTTTGGTATTTTCGGCACCCCACAGCACCTATCCAAGAAATCAAAGAGACTTTTATTCGTACATCTACCTCTAAAATACACTAGTAGTAGTTATAGTAGTAGTAGTTGTAGTAGTAGAAGAAAAAGCAGAAAAGAGAGAATATTGAGAGAAGCACAGTGGTGCCATCTAAAAACGTGAGGGCGTGGCGCTCGCTCCTAAGGGAGGCTTAGTCTAACTTTAACAACGGCACGGGTCGTACCTCGACAGCTATCCTCGATAAATACCACCTGCGACGTCGTGGTGATATGCTGCCAGTGGTTCTAGTAGTTTTAGTAGTACAATAGACCACTACTCACTTGATATTTCACCTTTTAAACCTTATAAATCTTGTAAACCTTGTAGGACAACTAACGCACTAAAGTGTTTAGCTTTCAGGGGTAGATAAAAATCACCCCCAGTATTATCACTCCAGTATCACCATTCAGTATCAACTCTCAATCAGATCGAGTCTTTTAATTCATAAAGTGATCATTTCTCCTCTCCTCTTTTGGTATTTAACATAAATAAAACAAAAATAAAAAGCTCTAGCTTTTTATCTCTACTGAGTATCAATGTATTTACGAGACTGAGAACAGAGTAGTCAGGATGACACCGGCTAAAAAA